CAAGGCGCACACGCTGATCCTGCAGCCGCCCTCCGAGAAGGGTGAGCCAGCACTGAGCATAGTTGGGGGGAGTCCCTAGTCAGCACCACAGCAAGTGGTGATCTAGCCCACAGCATATGGGCTCCAGAAGCCCCTGCTGGGAGGATGGTTTGAGGACTTGTGGGACAGTGTTGAGGACAGGGCCTGGTTTGGGAGCCATACAGCTGTCGAGGCCTGGGGCCAGGTAGGGGCTGGAAGATCTGAGATGGCAACCTCCACCCAAGCGCCCGTGCCCTGACTTCTCTACCCTGACTTTAACGCTGTTCCCAGAGTCCTGACTCAGGGCTCCTGTCCCAGTCACCTGATACTGACCCACAGGCCAGGCGTGTGAGTGGCGTTCCATTGATGGCACCATCATCTTGCCACTGGCCAAGGGCTCCCCGAAGGCGCTGACCCTGGAGCACGCCTTGTGCCTCACAGGCGACAGTCTTGCCCACCTGCAGAGTGCAGATCCCCAGCAGCTGCTGTGCATCATCCCACACGTGCAGGTGTTTGCCCGTGTGGCCCCCAAACAGAAGGTAAGTGGCCTGGGGTGCTGTGAGGGGTGGGCATGCCATTCCTTCCCCAGCCAGACCTCACTCAGTCCCCCTGCACTGCCTCACTCAGGAATTTGTGGTCACCAGCCTGAAGGAGCTGGGCTACGTGACCCTCATGTGTGGGGATGGCACCAATGACGTGGGCGCCCTGAAGCACGCTGACGTAGGTGAGCCCTGGGCTGGGGCCTTGGTGGGAGACTTGAGTCAGAGGGGTGGGCCTAGGCCCCTACTGCTGACACATCTTCTCTCTCAGGGGTGGCACTCCTGGCCAACGCCCCCGAGCGGGTGGTTGAGAGGCGGCGGCGGCCCCCCAGGGATGGCCCCATTTTGAGCGGCCATGTCAGGGGCCCTTCACGGGCATCAAGGCAGAAGTTGGGGCTCCCATCCTCAGAAGAACAGCCCTCTTCCCATCGGGTAAGTCTCCTTGGGAGAGGGGGTCGTGATGCCCTGAGCCAGAGTCTCATGGGCACCCCCCCTTTGCAGGATCGCCTGAGCCAAGTGCTGCGGGATCTTGAGGACGAGAGCATGCCCATCGTGAAGCTGGGAGATGCCAGCATCGCCGCACCCTTCACCTCCAAGCTCTCGTCCATCCAGTGCAGTGAGTCCTCATGCTGGCCCCTGTAGTCCATCTGCTTCATGACCCCCACTGTCCTTGGGTCCTCATCTCAGTGCTCCCCTGCCTTGAGCTGCTGGCCCACACCATTCTTGTGCTCACTTGATGGACCTTCTCCCCCAAGTACCCATGACGGTCAGCCCCACCCTCCCCATGTCCCATAACCCACCCTACTGTGCCCCCTGCCTATACTGCCCTCCCCACCCTGTAGTTTGCCACGTGATCAAGCAGGGCCGCTGCACGCTGGTGACCACACTGCAGATGTTCAAGATCCTGGCACTCAACGCCCTCATTCTGGCCTACAGCCAGAGTGTCCTCTACCTGGAGGGCGTCAAGTTCAGCGACTTCCAGGCCACGCTCCAGGGGTTGCTGCTAGCAGGCTGCTTCCTCTTCATCTCTCGCTCCAAGGTGGGCGGGCTCATGTCCTCACAGCCCCAGGGTGAGGGTGGGGATCTCATGTTACCCCTGGTGGAAAAGATCAGAAGTGGGCAGCAGGTGTAGCCCTCAGGCTCCACATTTGGGCACTTTGCACTAACAGACAGTGCCGGGCCAGGCTTTTAAGTGGCTTGCTTGTACCATGTGCCCCCAGGGGTCACTGAGTATTTTTGTGGGTGTGTAGTGATAAGGAAGGCTGGCTTGGGACAAGGTCACACCATCTCCTTTGTGGTTTTCAAACTCCTGTGACTTCTGTGAAGAGAGACAGAGGGGTTTCACTTGCTGAGGGTGGAGGGTAGGTGGAGGTTTAGGGGCTCCCAGAGAAAGCCCAGGCCTGACCCCTCCCTGCACTGTAGCCCCTCAAGACCCTCTCCCGGGAGCGGCCCCTGCCTAACATCTTCAACCTGTACACGGTGCTCACGGTGATGCTGCAGTTCCTCGTGCACTTCCTGAGCCTCGTCTACCTGTATAGGGAGGCCCAGGCCCGGAGCCCCCCCAAGTGAGTGCCTAGACCCTTCCTGGGCCCTATTGTATGAGAGGCCACTCAGAGGAGGTGACAGGCCTGCTGTTGGGGTGTGGCAGGGAGGTGGTGTCTCTGTGCCTACAGGAGTGGGGGAGGGGCAAGGGAGACTGGCTGGGACCTTAACTGCATAGTCTACAGGCAGGAGCAGTTTGTGGACCTGTACAAGGAGTTTGAGCCCAGCCTGGTCAACAGTACTGTGTACATCATGGCCATGGCGATGCAGACGGCTACCTTCGCCATCAACTACAGGGTAAGGCCCTGGTGCCCATGCCTAGCATGCCCTGTCCCACTCTCACCCCACCCCTGCTTCTGGGTAGTACTGGTCTTTCCCTCTGTCTGAAGGGCCCACCCTTCATGGAGAGCCTGCCTGAGAACAAGCCTCTGGTGTGGAGCCTGGCAGTGTCGATCCTGGCTATCGCTGGCCTGCTCCTTGGCTCCTCACCTGACATCAACAGCCAGTTTGGCCTAGTGGACATCCCAGTGGAGGTAAGCACAGCAGCAGTGGAGGATGAGGGCGGGCTGGGGCCTGACTGCCTGTTCATGAACCTCCCACCTGGCCAGTTTAAGCTGGTCATTGCCCAGGTTCTGCTCCTGGACTTTTGCCTGGCGTTCCTGGTGGACCATGTCCTACAGTTCTTCCTGGGCTCTCCAAAGCTGAAAGTGCCTTCCTGAGATGGCGGTGCCAGCACCACTGCCCACTGACCCTGCCCTGGGGAGCAGGGAGAGTCCAGCCCCATGACTCAGCCATCCACCTCGCCCACCACACCGAGCTGGACTCTGCAGGGACCATCGTAGTCCATTCAGCAGAACCAGCCCTGGGCCAGCACCTTCAGTCAATAAAAGAACATTATGGTTTTAAAAGATCCTGCCTCCCTCTCTTTCCCACTCTGGGGCCTGTGGACGTGGGTGGGGACAATTTAGAGCCTGGGCCAGGAGGTTGCACCCTCCCCTAGGCAATATGAGGTAGTTAAGAATGACAGTGTAAAATGCTTAGCTCACCAGACTCCAAGCCAAAAGCTCACAGCCTGAACAGCATTTTCGGAGAGCGCCTGAATGTAGATCTGGTGTGGTATCTGGCATCATGCTCTTGTCACCAGGCCTCTCAAGACATCAGCATCCTGAAACCTGTCACTTGGGCAGCTGCGTGGACTAAGAAAATACATGCTGCCACCTCTTGTCGCTCAGAGCACAGACCTCGTCCTCCCATCCATGCCTTCTTTCATTGGACACTTGTTCGTTATCTCATGGGCGTTAGATGAGACACATGTGCTAAAATAAGAGAAGCAAAGACCTTGAAAAAAAAAAAAAAAGCTCACAGCCCTGGTATTCAGGTAAGTCTTCAGCTCCAGTTTTACACTTTTTTCACATTTCAACATCTCAAGAACTAAGAGGCATAGAACTGATGGGCAGCAGTTTTCTGCGTCTGACAATTGGTGATGGAAGGGTATGCATTTCGTATCTACTAGCTGCTCTGTGGGAAGAAAATGGGCCATCTCCTCCCACGCAATTCACAATCTCTGAAGACTCACTGGAGGGTCAGCTGTGGGTCAATTCTGACTCAATACGCAAGAGGACTTCAGAGGCAGTCCATAGCCAGTTTTGCCTCTAATCCAAAATCCACGCTTCTGGCAGTTGGACACTGCTCTGGGAGAAAGATGGGTAATCATCCCGATTGACTTAGAGCCTTGGGGCCTGCTGGAGGGTCCTTCAGTGTCCAGTCAACAGCAGTGGCTTGAGTTGGTTGATAGCATCTGGGGCTCACAGTGAAAGCCGTCATCACAGCCCTGGCCTGACCTCATTCCACTTCACAGACACTTGGATGCACCAACAGTGGGGTCCGTCAGGAGCAGCACCCCCCCCCACCGGCCTGCCATGTTCAAGCCAGCCTTGCATTGGCTCAGATGGCAGCGCTGGCAGAGGGAGCTGAGAATCTTGGCCTTCCCGAAGCTGTGTTATAAACAGTTTGGTTTTGCTTCCAGCCAGTGATTCCACTGAATAGGTTGTGGGTGCATATAACCTGGCTAACTTCTTCCTTTTCCTGTCCTCCTGGAAACTGGAAGGAGGTGTGGCTCAATTTAAGAAATCTCTGCATGTGCCTGTGAGCACGGGGCAAGGAATCAGTGGTGGGACAGAGCCCACTGATTCAGCAGGGATCATTTCAGTCACAGACTACTGAATTCCTGGGAGGAGCACTTCGGTTGTGGGAGCTGCAGGCAAGGGACAACTGGGGAGCATGAGAGTGCAGGGATTGAGGGTGTTATATCCCCTTTCCCAGTGTGGACGAAGCGGGAGGAGTGCTCAGGAAAGCTTGCTCCTGCACCGTGATCTGAGATGATTCCAGCTAATAAGGGTCCTTTGAGGTTCAGATTCGGCTGGAATCGGGCAAGATGTCAAGCTACCTCAAGGGCGCTTAGCGTGTGTCCGAGGTACCAAAAGAACCCTTAGGTAGGGGATGCTGGGGTTGTAGCTTACCAGACCACACGGACCTACGGGAGCTCTTGAGGGCATGGGGATACGGGGACTTTTGCTGGGGTTCCTGCGGGCTGGAGGCGCGGCGAGGCCATGATGAAGTCCTAGGGAATGTGAGCCGTGGGGCGCTTCGCGGTGGAGTGACTGCTCTGGGATCTTGACCCAGCGGCTTCCCAGGGGGGGGGGCGGCTCCTGGGCTCCCCGCGCAGCGCACACCAGGTACCGGGTTCGCGCTTCCGGGCGGCGGGGTGGAGCCTCTGGGGGCGGGGCTGTCGCGGGCGGGGCCAACGCAGAATCGGGCGGTGGCGGCCGCGGAAATCCGAGCTGGGCCTGTCCCGTGCGCGACCCCATCCCGGTCTCCATCCAGCGAACCCCGGCCTGGGCCATGGACACAGCAGAGCCGGGTAGGGGATTCGGGTGCAGAGTTCGGGGAGGGGCGTCGCCGGCCATTCTCCGTTTCCCACATTGAGGAATCCCTGCCTGTTCCTCGGTCCCTAGAGCCGGGAGAGGAGTTCCTGAATGGTGGGGACGCGAGGACCCTTCACTGCAAGGATCCCAAGCCAAGCGGGGTCCCGAGGCAACAGACCCATCCCCCTCCCCCTTCAGATCCTTCACCCCGGATGCCTGGGGGAGGGGGCCCAGGAAGGGGAAGTGGCCGCTTCTGCTTCTGAATTTTGTCATGGGGGCGGGGTGTCACTGTTATAACTGATGTGATGGGCAACGCAGTAGGGTCCCCCATCGGCTTCCTCCGTAGCCCTGGGCTGGGAACAGTGTCGAAATAGGCCCCTTAAAAGGAGGGACAGCAGAAATGTGTCAGGGTCGGGCTTGCACTTCCGTCTCTCTTTGTGTCTCAGTATACTGTCACTTGCTCTTTTTGTCCCTCATTGTAGCTTCTGTGCTGTGCTTCTGCAGCAGGCTTTGCGCCTGTCTGCCCCACGTGTATTTCCATCTGTCTGCTCTTGGGTCCATGTGGCTCCATTGTCAAGCCAGCTGCATCTCTGGGCGTCTGCTTTGTCACTTAGGTCCTCAGTCCCTGTCTGTGTGGATGTCTGCTTTTCCAATCAGCTCTTGCCCGAAGTCAGCCCCCTCAAGTCCAGTCTCCCTCTACCGAGTGTCAGACACCCACCCCCTGCCCAGAGTCTCCCACCCTCCCAATCCCGTCCCTCCCTCTACTGGGTCGGGAAAGGATGAGCCAATGACACACAGATACTTTTGCAATTGTCCCAGTGAGCTGAGGTGCTGCGGGTAGGGGGAGGCAGCTTTCAGCCCAAGTGGAACATCCCCTCCTTCCAGGGTTACCCCCGGCTCCTGAGGGCAGGAAGAGGTATAGTGACATCTTCCGGAGCCTGGACAACCTCGAGATCTCACTGGGGAACGTGTGAGTCTGAGCCTGGGGCATCCAAAATCCTGTTGGGATCCCCAAATCCAGAACCATTTAGATGCCCTGATACCCCACCAGGAACCTGTAACACCTGCAATCACTTACCTCAAGACCAGATATATCTGAGATGAGACCTTCTAAAACACCTTCATCGCCCTACAACCAAAACCCGGGTCCACTGAGAATCTCCAGCATGCTAATAAAGCCACACCAAATCCATTGTCATGAATGTAATTCTGGTTACAGTGCCCCTATAGGACATAAGAGAAGTGTCCCATCATTCCCATGCTGGTGATCTCCAGCAGATTACCACAGAGTGGCTGATAGGATCAAAACACTGACTTTTTTTATTAGTGGCCAGTTGCTTAATCACTGTGCCACCAGGCTCCCCAACGTGGTCTCAGAATCCCACATACCCTTCACATGACCCCTTAAAACATTTAGAATTCCTATAGCTCCATTCTGAGCCCCAAATTTACTTGGGACACTTCAAACTTTCCCCAAACCAAGGTGACTACAACTACCTTGTCCTTTAAACACTCCATTTCTCAAGCCTCCCAGACACAAGAAATGCTGCCACAGAAGTGATATCTAGGGCCATCCCCCAAATGCTCTAGAGTCCCTAGCACCCTCAGCCTAGGTGAAAATGGGTGGCATCCCGACACCCCTACCCTCCAGGAGCCTTGAGATGCCAGCTGGAGACCCCGTGCTTTCAGAAGACCCTGAGCCAGACAAGGCTCCCACAGCCACTGTGGTGAGAGGGTGGGGAGCTTGGGGATGGGGGTGATTTAAGGGAAGAAGGAGTACTGGGGGGAGGCCAGGACCCCTACTCAGCTTGTTCCTGAGAACTCTGTCTGTCCAGCTCCAGACCAATGAGACCAGTTGTTGGACTAACCCCTCCACAGAGAGTCCTGCACCCCTCACAGGTAAGGGGGGATTGTGATGAGGCTGGCAGGGACATAAAAGAATCTTTCCTTTAGCAAGTTAGGACTGAGCACCTCTTCCGGGGACGGGGGTGTCATTGTTCAGGGTACCAGAGACCCAGCACTGACCATGACATCAGTCTAGTTAGGGAACAGATGTTTACCAGCCAGTGTCAGGTTGCATCCAGGGTACCAAGAGACCATAGGGATATTTGAGGAAACTATGGCGTCCACTTCCATAATAACTTGCCTCTGGAAACCCTATGAACCTGGAGAGAGGATGAAAGGCACCCAAGCGTCAAGGATTCTCCTTCATAGGGTTGCTAGGAGTCGCCTGCGACTCAATGGCACTTAACAACAACAACAACATGAGGGCTTATAACAGGGCCACTGGTCTGAGTTGGGGGTTGAGGGAAGGCTTCCATTAGCAGATGGGTCAGAAGATGGATGTTCCTTCCTGCTCTAGGGGAGGAACTGGACTTGCGACTGGTTCGGACCAAGGGAGGCGTGGATGCAGCCCTGGAGTATGCCAAAACCTGGAGCCGCTATGCCAAGGAGCTGCTGGCCTGGACTGAGAAGAGAGCCAACTATGGTGAGAACCTCTGTTCCCCACCGTGGGCAGTGCCCCTCGCCCCAGCCAGCAGGGCCCAGACTATGGCTGTCTCCCCCAGAACTGGAGTTTGCCAAAAGCATCATGAAGATTGCAGACGCCGGCAAGGGGTCCATCCACCAGCAGGTAGCTAGCCTCAGATCTTGGGGTTGGGTCTTGTCCCCACTGCAGTCCCCACCTAGTTTCCTCCCATCATTCTCCCATCATACCCCAGAGCCACATGCCACTGCAGTACATCTACACGCTGTTTCTGGAACATGACCTTGCACTCGGGGTTCTGGCACAGGAGACAGTAGCCCAGCAGAGGAGGGACTACTACCAGGTGAGGAGATAGAGCAAAAGTGGGGGGCCATGCTTCCCTTCTGGCAGGATTCTGCCCACAGTAGCCAAGGGGATGGTACCATTGTCATCCTAACCACCATGCTTAGCCCCAGATCATGCAGCATATTCAAACCAGGCTGCCTATGTGACTGAAATTGGTTTTGTTTATTTGCAGAGGGGGTGAGGTGCCTATATTCCCTGGAAGGAGCCTTGGGTCTCTGAGGGGGTGGAACGAGGATATGGGGTGACCACGGAAACTTCCTGGTCATGGGGTGGGGGAAGGAGGACCAGAGAAGGAAGCGCATGTGTCTGTGAAACAGAGGCATTACAAGCCCAAGAACGTTCATGTGGGCCCCTCAGGGGTGGCCCAGAGGTGGCTTTCCCATCCCCTGCCTTCACTCACCATCTTGCCAGCCCCTGGCAGCCAAACGAACTGAGATTGAAAAGTGGCGGAAGGAGTTCAAGGAGCAGTGGATCAAGGAGCAGAAGCGAATGGTGAGGACCAGGGTGTGGGTGAGGCAGCCTGGCCAAGGGGACAGGTATTCATGGAGGTGATGCTGACTGGCCCCCTCCCCAGAATGAGGCTGTGCAGGCTCTACGACGGGCCCAGGTCCAGTATGTCCAGCGCAGCGAGGACCTGCAAGCCCGCTCCCAGGGATCCCCGGAGGACCTGGCTCCCCAGGCTTCTCTAGGGCCCAGCAAGCAGCAGGAGCGGCGGCGGCGTTCGCGGGAGGAGGCCCAAGCCAAGGTGAGGACCTTGGACCCTTTCAGCTCTCACGCTGCCACCTCCCATCCTTGCCCACACCTCTCCCACCTGGGTTCCTCTAGGTGCAGGAGGCCGAGATGCTGTACCAGGCCTGTGTCCGCGAGGCCAACGCGAGGCAGCAGGACCTAGAGGCCACCAAGCAGCGAATCGTGTCACATGTGCGCAAGCTGGTGCTGCAGGGCGATGAAGTGCTCAAAAGGGTGAGGCCCTTCCTCAGGGTTTGTAGTGCCTCGTGGTCACCAGGATGCTTCAGTTCCTGCTGCTGCATCTCAAAGGCCACTAAAAGTCACTCTGTCCAAGACAGACTGTGTCTGTCTCCCCTAGAACTGGAGTTCGTCAAAGCATCTTGAAGATGCTTTTGAAACCAGAGCTCCTTGGAGACAAGGATGGCAAAGGTCCGTCTCACATACTTTGGGCACGTTCCTAGGAGAGGCTGTTTATTCCTTGGGAAGGGACATCATGCTTGGGAAGGTGGATGGTCAGCGAAAGAGAGGAAGGCAACAAGATGGGTTGACAGCGTGACTGCAGCTATGGGCTCAAGTGTGTCAGAGATGATGAGGATGGCACAGGATGGAACGGGGTTCAGATCTGTTCCTAGGGTCTCTATGAGTCGTCCTCGACTCAGCAACACTTAACAACTATGCAAGGCCAGGCCATCCCAAGCTCCTTGACCCCACCCTCGGGTGCCCCAGCCTAGCTAAACTTTGTCCAGCTCTCTAAGCCCCATCTCACCAGTTCTGCCTAACTGCCCTAAAATGTCCCTGCCCTGTTCCCAGGCCACAGCCCACGTTCCTAAGCCACGTAACTCTTACAGCTCGGCCCCAGCTGCCCCTGCCCCTCCCACCCCCATAACTACAGACGCCTGGCCCATCCCTGACCTACACACTGGCTTTGCCCCGCAGGTAACCCTGGGCCTGTTTGGGCTACGTGGTGCACAGGCCGAGCGTGCCCCCCGTGCCTTCGCAGCCCTGGCCGAGTGCTGCAGCCCCTTCGAGCCCGGCCAGCGCTACCAGGAGTTTGTGCGGGCAATGCGACCAGAAGCTCCCGCGCCCCCACCACCCACCTTCTCGTTCCAAGAGTTTGTGCAAACAGCTCACAGGTGGGCTGGGGGCCAGGCGCCAGAGCTCAGCTGAGGGAGGGTCCATGAGCTCAGCCTCTGGACTTGAAATTCAGTGCCCAGATGCTGGGAGGGCTGAACTTGGGGGTCTTGCCTTGGTGGGGCCACATTGCACAGGGAGCATCAGGGTATTTGGGTGTTGTCACCATAACATAGATTGAACCTTTGAACCTTCTCTCAGCTCCCCTGTGGACACTAGAAAGAAGTTATCGGGCCCCCTGCCTCCACGGCTGGATGAGGGTGCAACTGAGTCAGGGTCCTGGGAGGACCCTGGTCCCCGCTGGCAGGGTGAGTGCCATGAGGATGGGGTGGGTGGTGGCGCCAAGCTCTGGTCAGACTCACCAGCCTGTTCTTTCCTAGGGACCCCAGTCCCGACCCCGGGCAGTGATGTGGAGAGCATCGGGGGAGCCAGCGAGTCCCGATCCCTGGATTCGCCTACTTCCAGCCCAGGTAGGGCCAGGGCCTGGCCCTGACCGACTCCTGACTTCTGACCATTCTCCAGCCACTGGTCCAGCCCTGATCCTCAGTCTTCAATGTGTTCTTTGACCTCTGACCTACCTCACACACACCCGATCTTCAGCTTCTGTCTAACTTTTGAACTATTTACCCCCTAGGCCTTTCTCCAATCCCTGACCTCTGACCTGTCTGATTAACCCCGCCCCCTGCACTCTCACCTCATTCCCAACGGCCATCTGTGAATGGTTCTGGAATCCAGAAGGGTCTTAGCCCCCTGGCCTCCTCATGACCCTCATGTGACAGTTCCCTTTGCCCCCCCCCCGTGATTCTCTGGCCCAGGCTCAAGGCGGCTTATGAAGGCCCCGTCCACAGGCACTGAGTCCTCAGATGACTTTGAGGATAAAGACCCTGGTAAGGCACAAGCGGGGTGGGCCGTGGTGGGATGAGTGGGTGGAGCAGGCCTCTGACCCCCCCTGCCCCCCACAGACCTGGGAGATGGACTGGAGAATGGGACGGCTAGTCCCTTCAGGAAGTGGACACTGTCCACCGCGGCACAGACCCACCGGCTTCGGCGACTCCGGGGGCCAGCCAAGTGCCGAGAATGTGAGGCCTTCATGGTCAGCGGCACTGAGTGTGAAGAGGTACAGCCTGGGCCGATGACCTGATGACCCCCACTGACCTCACTGTTGTCCCCAACTTGAGATCTCTATGACTTTCCTAACCCAGGATCTTTAATGATCTCTGATGGTCTCTCATGACCCCTGAGGACCCGTGACCTTTTCTTCTGCCACAGGCCCCCTGATGACCTCCCTGACCCCAGACTCTTGTGATCTCTCCCCCAGTGCTTTCTGACCTGCCATAAGCGCTGCCTTGAGACCCTGCTGATCCTGTGTGGACACAGGCGGCTCCCTGCACGGACCCCCCTCTTTGGGGTTGACTTTCTGCAGCTGCCCAGGGACTTTCCAGAAGAAGTGCCCTTCGTGGTGACCAGGTGTACGGCTGAGATAGAACACCGTGCCCTGGGTGTGCAGGTGCCACCTTGACCGCCCCCCCCCCAACTGTCCCCGGAGGGGATCTGAGCTCTACCAATGTCCAGTCGCTGACCCAGGTGTCTACCCACCTCTGGCCCTGCAGGGTATTTACCGAGTGAGCGGGTCCCGAGTCCGTGTGGAACGATTGTGCCAGGCCTTCGAGAACGGCCGGGCATTAGTGGAGCTGTCGGGGAACTCGCCTCATGATGTCTCGAGTGTTCTCAAGCGGTTTCTTCAAGAGGTGAGGGCTGGGAAGCTGGAGGGACAGGATGGGCAGGCCCAGGCCCAGGCCCTGCCAAGCCTGCCAACACGCATGTCCCTGCCCATTGCACTCCCAGCTCACCGACCCCGTGGTCCCCTTCCACCTCTACGATGCCTTCATCTCTCTGGCCAAGACCCTGCATGCAGACCCTGGGGGCATCCCTGGGACCCCCAGTCCCAGCCTCGAGGTCATCCGCTCCATCAAGACCCTCTTGGCGCAGCTGCCCGACTCTAACTACAACACCCTGCGACACCTGGTGGCCCATCTGTTCAGGTGGGCACTTGACTTATGACCTGAGGTGTAGATCTGTGACACCACCCTCTGAAATATAAATACTGATGTAAGGGCCTGACCCTTGACATTGTCCTTTAGTCTTTGACAGTCATTCTGTGTGTTCTGAACTTTAACACACGATCCCTGACTTCTTGTATTGACCTCTGACCATCCCTATCCTGGACATGTCCTACTGGTCTCAGACAATGGCCAAAACCACTTATCTGTGACCTGGCATCCCAATGGTCCTGCCCTTAGCCTGAGGCCGATGGCTGGGCACCCCACTCTGACCCTTCTCTTCTCACTTTCCCCAGGGTGGCTGCACAGTTTGAGGAAAACAAGATGTCTGCAAACAACCTGGGCATTGTGTTTGGGCCAACACTACTGCGCCCACCTGGCTGTCCAGGGACATCTGGTCCTGGCCCCGTCGCCTGCCTGCTGGACTCAGGGTATCAGGCCCAGCTGGTTGAGTTTCTCATCGTGTACTATGAGCAGATCTTTGGGATGGACGAGCTGCCCCTGGCCACAGAGTCATCATTCCAAAACCCCACCTCAGCGCCCGGAGCTTGCACAACAAGCCCCCAGCCAGCACCCTCACACCTCATCTCAGATGCCAGGTCACCAGCCCAGGCCTCAGACCCAGACCCAGGCCCTGAGCTCCACTATGTCCTGGAGAAGTGTCCTGAAGCCGTGCCTACTGAGGTAAGAAATAGCTACTTACTCTTCTCTCTTTCTTGTTTAAATTTTCTCTTTCAGCCTCTGTCTCCCTCACTTGTATGACCAGTGTTCATTCTGGAAGGAACACTGAAGAACAGAATAGTGGATTATAATGGAGTGACAACACAGGTTATGCCCTGGAGTGACCATTCATTATCTCAACAGATTATTTACTGAACACCTACTATGCTCCCAGGTGGCACACAAATTATTGTTTCAACTCTGAGCTGAAAGGTTGGTGTTCAAATCCACTCCTGGTGCTCAGTTTTGAAAGCCTCACAGAGCGCAGTGTTACACTTCTGCCCAACAGGAGCTAACAACAAGGACCAAGCACAGTTCTAGGCATTAGAGACATTCGTTATACATCAGAGCAAAACAGGCCAGTGCACCACCCTCCTAGTGGAGATGAGACCACAGTAAACCACAAATACGATTCAAAGTCCATTATGTAGGTGAGACTTCTGGTGGCTTAGTGGTAAGGAATTGTACTGTGAACTCAAAAGGATGCGGTCTGAATCCACCAGCTGCTCCACAGGAGAAAGATGTGCAGTCTCCTCCCATGTGATTTACTGTCTCTAAAAACCTTCTGGAAGGTCACTATGGGTTGGTCCTGATTCGACGGTATGTGACAACAACAACAGCAACATGGAGAAGTTCTCCATAGTACTATGAAGAGTGCTATGGTAGCAGAAGCCAAGAAATCCAAAGACATATCACATGGAAAAAATCTGCTGTCAGGGACTTCTCCAAAGTGCTAACGAGCAATAATGTCAGCTGAAAGACTAAGGTGGACCTGATCCAAGCCATGGGTTTTTGTGTGGTGGTTTTTTTTGTTTATTACTTGCTATGCATCTGAAAGTTGGACATTGACCAAGGATGACAGAAGAATCAATGCCTTTGAGTTGTGGTGCTGTAGAAGAGTACTGGATAGCCCATGGATGGCCAAAAGAACAAACTAATCTGTCTTGGAGAAAAATACAACCAGGGTGCTCCTTGGAAGCAAAGATGATGAAGCTTCGTCTCACATACCTTAGGCACATGGACAGGAGAAGCCAGTCTTTAAAGAGGGACATCATGCTTGTAAGAGTGGAGGTTCAGAGAGACCTTCAATGGGATGGGTTGACATTATGACTGTAACAGTGAGTTCAAATATATCAGAGATAGTGGAGAAAAGTTAGGTCAAGGTTCAGATCCACTGTTCACAGAATTACTAGGAGTCACATTTGACTTGACAACATGTAACTTCAGCATGGAGAAGAGAGTAAGGGGTTTCAGGGCTCCCGGTGGGAGTAGAGGGCTATTTATTGTCCTATGTGGGATGTTGTGTGCAGGCCTCATGGAAGAGGTAGCTAGGAGCAAAGGCTGGAAGAAGAGGAGGGAGCTATGTGGTGATTGGGAATGGTATACCAGGTAGAGACCCTGAGCTGAGGACCTACGATGTTCAGGGCACAGCCTTCCAGGGGAATGAGTGAATGGGAGGTGGCAGGAAGGGAGACCAGAGAGAGGTTCACCTAGATGACTCAGTGGGTCACCACTGATCTCTTCCCTCCTCTGCCAAAATCAAAACTAAACTCATTGTGGTCAACTCAGCTTGACTCTTAATGGTCCTGCAGGACAGAAGAGAACCATACCATAGGCTTTCCAAGAAGCCAACTGTGACATCTTTCTCCTATGAAGTGGCTGGTGGGTTTGAACCACTAACCTTTCAGTTAGCAGCCAGCCCGGGTTCCTGTAGGGGGCACTTTTGAGACAGCTGGTTTAGCATGTGGGTCCTTTAGTCAAACTTGCCTGTCAGGACCAGAGCACACGTGCAAAGCAGGAAGGCTTGTGCATGTGACTCTTCTGGAGGCCTCCCTCAGATCTTGCCCTTCCCACAGCAGCCCACAGCAGCATGCTGGGGTCTGACACCTTAAAGGCACTCGGGCGCTAACCACCACTGAGCTGTAGGTAGGACAGTGAGAACAGAAACTAAGAGCAGACTTAAGATTTCAGAAGCAGAACTAGGTGGGAACATGGGTTCACAGCCAGCACCAGACCCACAAATGACTGCTTCACACTGCTGTGTTAGTCTGCTCAGGTTAGTCTAGTCTGATTAGTGGTCCAACTGGAAATTAAGTGCTGTTCTCTGTAGGACAGGCAAGAAGTACAGTTTTGAGGAGATTGTCTCTTATTCAAACTGCTTGAGGAACATCTGCAGGTCCAGAAATAAACCCTCAGCTCTCCAGCAGGCTTGAAGTACTGGGATTTTGCTGTTGGGGTTCATCCCTCTGTTTCTCCATGCAGAGTCCAGCCCTGCAGGTTGACCAGGGAGAGGAAGTGGACACAGACACCAGAGATGGGGCAAGTGAAGGTGAGTGTGTTTGGGAGTAGCCCAAGGAGTTCTTGGGGTAAAGGCACCCCTACTCTAGGCTGGTTTCACGGGGAGAGGGCTCCTGAGGAGAGGCACGAAGGCCATGGGGATGTTCAGCATTGGCCACCCCATCCCCATAGCATCCGGCCGAGGCCCCGAGGACTCACTCCTGGGAACACAGCCCCGTGGCCACTTCAGCCGCCAGCCTGTGAAGTATCCTCGGGGTGGGGTGCGGCCTGTCACCTACCAGCTATCGAGCTTGGCCCTGGTGGCTTCCAAGCTGTGTGAGGAGACCCCTGTCACCTCAGTGTCCCGTGGGAGCTTGCGGGGACGAGGGTCTGGCCCTGCCGCTGCCTCCCCAGAGGGCAGCCCCTTGCGCCGCACCCCACTGCCCAAGCACTTTGAGATCACCCAGGAGACGGCCCGGCTACTCTCTAAGCTGCACAGTGAGGCTGTACCCAGAACCACTTGCTGCACGGACCACCAGCCTGAGGCCACCTGCTTTGGAGACCCCCAACCTGAGGAAGTGGAGGAGCATCTTTAACCAACCCCAAACCTGGCAGAAGGACTAAGAAGAGGGACCCACTTTCCCCCGCCTTCCCCCACTGGCAGCCTGATAGCAGGCCAGTGGTTCAGTGTTGAGGTGCTTGGAAGAGTTCTTAGGAGGAAAGGGGGCAACATCAGGGAGGCCTAACCCCCTCTGTGGAACAATGTTCCAGGACCCCTACCCTAGGACTAGACACAGGTAACTCAGGGTCAATGCTCAGGGTCAACCCAGGCCAGTGTATCTTTGGGGTCTACCCTAGTTTCTGTCCCCTGGGGCAGGGGTGCCTCTTACTTCAGTGGTAGCTGTACCTTCCCTCCCTCCTGCCTCCTTTGCTGATCATGTCGAAGGAGTAGGTGGCTCAAACCTACCTCTTCTCTTCCTGGTGAGATCTGGGGTCCGGTGGCCCGTGAATAAACCATGTCCCAGGGGCTCTCGTGTGTGTGTGTTTCTTTACCATGGGTGGGTGACAGAGACATCATGGATGGCAGCATCTCCCGCTCCCCTTCTCCTAGCAGGAAAAGCCCGTGACCCTATTAATCTCCAATCCTCCCTCAGCAGCCAGGGGCCTCCTGGTGAGTCATGCCTGCATCCCAATCAAGTCCTGTACAATCAAATAAATATAACCACGTGCAGATAACCGGGACAATGCAGCTGTATGCTCTGGGCCGTGGGAGGCCAGGCTGCCACGGAGAGGCCGGGGGAGGAGGCCACTGGGCCCGGCAGGGTGCAGGGGGTGTGGGGGTGAGATCACCAGAAACCTGAGTGCCGCTGGATGCTGGGCGGCCAAGGGCTGGTGAGGCCCACGGGTCGGCTCTGGAGGTGGGCGGGGCTGCCGGGGGGGGGGTCCTCTGGGAGTGAGGTTTGCAGCGATTGGACATCAGAAAGCAGGGGGAGGGGGACAGGCAGTAAGAAGGGTCGTGGCCACCCCCCACACCCCGCCACCCGAAGTTGTACCCCAGGTGGTGCTAGGTCTCAGCGGGAATTCTCTGGTTCCCTGCCCGGTCAGCCTTGAAGGTTCAAAACTGCAGGCGTGTGAAGTGTGCTGAAGCCAGAGTGGGGGTCTCGTGCCGGAAATGGAGCGTGGTGACCCAGGGGCCGCACTGCGGGGAGGAAATAAAGGGGCTGCAGTTTCCGGGTGACCTTACCCGCCTCCCGAAGGCAGGACACCCCAGGTGGCAGTGGCAAGGCTCCCCCAGGTGCTGGGGCCGGGCGGGGTGTCCTGGACGGGGTGGGGGCGGGGCTCCCCAGGTGGTGGGGCGCAACGGAGGGGGCGGGGGGCGGGGCACCCGGGGCTGGACCCGCCTCCCGCCCGCTCTCTCCGCCCGCGCCCAGCGCACCCGGACTCTTCGCTGCTCCCGCCGCCGTGCCGCTGCAACTGCTGGCCGGCCATGGGCTTGGGGCCCACGCCAGTCCCCCGTGAGCCCACCCAGTCCCCTGCGTGACGGGCAGCCCAGGTGAGGCTGGCACTGACGGAGGGGGTGCGGGTCGCGGGGAGGCGCTCCCGGCCCCGCGGCCTCTCTAGGAAGGTCTGCGGGGCCTGGGAAGACACATGCCTGTGGGGCTGGGGTGCCGCCCTCTCCTTCCCTCCTCTTGTCTTAGCCTGGGCCGTCGAGTAGACCGAGCAGCCGCCGCTTCTTGACCTCCTCTTTTGTCCCCGGAATCACCAGTTTTCCGACCCGCCCGAACGGCCTGGAGTCCTGCCTCCCTTGGCTCTGTTTGCACCCAAAGTCAGCTGCCCAACTTTTGGGGGCACCTAGTAAGGCCCGCCTGGGTCGTCTCGATCACCTCCACGCCCTGCATGGATCGCCTCTGCTTCCCAACACCAATTTCACCCTTCCACAAGCACATCTAGTCTCCGCTCCCCGCAGTGACCGGCACCCAAGTGGACCTTCCCCAATCTGTTCAAGCTCACGCCCCTTTGTCCTGTCCCAGCCCCTTCCCCTCCCCCCTCATAGAGGGCACGTGGGCTGGGATTGGTTTAGAGAAACCAGTCAATTATTTGATTAGCTCTTGCCTAAAAGTCTTAAGTGCACTTAGAAACAAGCCCCCACCTTACCCATGGCTCTTTCTTTTACTTAGTCCCCATTAACATCCTTTCACTGGGAGGGATCCTTGCCTTTCCAGCTCCTGACCCTCCCCTTCTGCAGAACAGCTTCTGCTTCCTGTGTCCTTCCAACAAGCAACTACACTGACAGTTCCCTCTGTACCCTCAGGTGGTCACTATGAGCCACTGCTACTACAACAGTAGCATCACCTTCTTCTACAACAACAGTGGCAAGAAGCTCAGCGACCAGTGGCTGCCCAAGGATGTGGTTATAGTGACTCTGGGCCTGGTGGTGAGCGTGCTGGTGCTTCTGACCAACCTGCTAGTCATCGCAGCCATTGCATCCAACCGCCGTTTCCACCAGCCCATTTACTACCTGCTGGGCAACCTGGCTGCTGCCGACCTCTTTGCTGGCGTGGCTTACTTCTACCTCATGTTTCACACCGGCCCTCGAACCTCCAGCCTGTCTCTGGAGAAGTGGTTCATTCGTCAGGGCCTGCTGGACTCGAGCCTGACGGCGTCGGTGGCCACAATGTTGGCCATTGCCCTGGAGCGTTACCGCAGCGTGATGGCTGTGCAGTTGCACAACCGCCTGCCCCGTGGCCGCATCTTCATGCTCATTGTAGGCGTGTGGGTGGCAGCCGTGGTCCTGGGGGTGCTTCCTGCCTACTCCTGGAACTGCCTCTGTGCCCTGGACCGCTGCTCTCGCATGGCGCCCTTGCTCAGCCGCTCCTATCTGACCGCCTGGGCCCTGTCCAGCCTGCTGGTCTTCCTACTCATGGTGGCTGTCTACATCCGCATTTACTTCTATGTGCGGCGGCGGGTGCAGCGCATGGCGGAGCATGTCAGCTGCCACTCTCACTACCACGAGACCACACTCAGCCTGGTCAAGACAGTCGCCATTATTCTGGGTGAGTGGGGGGGGCCCCCAAATGACCCAGGGATTCCCTCCCATCAACTCCCACAATGAACAAAACAAGTGGTCCAATAAGAGTTCTAGGTAGATGGAACAGAATGGTGAGAATCCCAAGACAGGATCAAGCCAGGGCTCTCCAAGAGAAGAGGAGGCCAGTATGGTCGCCCTGCATGAAGTCAGGCTGTTAGCAAGGCTGAGAGGGCCCGGGAGGTGACTGGGTTTTGTTCTCTGTTCTGTGAGCCACCCTTCAGAGTTTTTGAGCAAGGGATAACATGCTCGCTCGGGTTGATAAATACAAAATGGATTGGATGGAAGAGGCTGAACAGATAGATCTAGCTTCTCCTATCAGGTTACCCCTACCCCCAAGAATGGAAAACCACCCTTCCCCCCAGTGAGTAGCTGACCTATTCCATGGTGACCTCTTCCCCTGTGAAACAACCTTCCCACACTGGAAATTTCCAAGGCTCTGGCTATATTATTGAATCCCTGGGTTAAATGCTTGCCTGCTAAAGGGAAGGTAAGTGGTTCAGACCCGCTAGGAGTTCCACAGGGGAAATCGTGGCAACCTGCTTCCAGAAAGCTTTCCGTAATGCAGATCTGTTGTTGATAGGATAGCTGTAGTTGTAGTCAGTTTGCAGGCACTTCACAACAGTCTGTCTTGCAGGGTTGCTGTGAGTTAGAACCAGCTCAGTGGCATTGAGTTTGGTATGATTGCCTTTGCAAAGGTTTTGTGTTTTTTTTTTTTCCTCCGGCATTTTGCCAAATAAATGGCATTGAAGAGACCAAAAAGATAGGTCTAGGAGAAGGTGCAGCCAGAGTGCTCCTTGAAGGCAAAGATAATAAAGCTTCATCACCCATACTCTGGGCGTGTTGCTGGGAGAACTTAAGCCTTGGAGAGGGACATAGTAACTTGGAAAGGTGGAAGGACAGCAAAAGAGAGGAAGACCCTCAATGAGACGGATTGACACAGTGACTGCAGCTGTGGGCTCGAGTATATTGTGAGGATGGCACAGGATAAGACAGAGTTCAGGTCTGTTCACAGGGTCACTGTGAGTCTTACTCAAATCCACAACACCTAACAACAACAAATTACTCAGGAAAGTATAGAGACAAATTCAAAGACGGGTCCCCTCCTCAGCATTCTGCGTCTTCTGCGCGATCGGTAGTTGTTACCCGAGCTCTGGAAACCCCATTAGTCTTGAGGTTCAGAGCTGGGGCTGCCAGGCCTCCTCACACCCTGCACTTCTTCCGTTCCGCAGGGACGTTTGTGGTCTGCTGGACGCCAGCCCAGGTGGTGCTGCTCTTGGATGGTCTGAACTGCAAGTCCTGTAATGTCTTCGCTGTAGAGAAATATTTCCTGCTCTTGGCTGAGTCCAACTCTCTGGTCAACGCCGTGGTGTACTCGTGCCGTGATGCCGAGATGCGCCGCACCTTCCGCCAGCTTCTGTGTTGTCTGTGGCTCCGCCGGCCCACCCATGATTCTAACCGCTACAAACCCTCCATCCAGGCAGGGGCCAGCACGCGCATCATGCTTCCTGAGAATGGCCATCCCCTGATGGATTCTACCCTCTAGCTGCCTTGAACTGCAACAGGATGCAGCAAGTGAGAGTGTTAGATCCACAGGTCCTGTGTGCTCAGGCGGCCATGGACTTCAACTGGCTCAGCCCCATCCACCAAACAGTCTTACAGGCAAACCCAAGGGCTGGTGCAGCACATCACCACCTCCAGGCCTACTGCTCTTGTCCCACTGCCTGCCCTGGGGCTTGGGGCAATCTCTGAGAGACTGGGAGAATTAGGTGGAAGCAAGACTCTGGATTTTCTCAGACTCATCTCAGGTTTTGGGTTTTGTTTTTTTTTAAATGAACATTTTTCTATTTTTATAGCACATCCCTCATGAGTCCTGTGGACTGACTGGAGGTCCTGGCTAGTGATTTGGGTGCTTAAAAGGTGAGAAGGATGAAGGCTCTCTCAGACCATGCTACACAGTATGAAAGGGCATCAAGGAAGGACCATGGATATATCATCTACCAAAGACTGCTGCTTTAGGGGTGCAGGCTAAGGGGCTACGGAGCACAAGTTGGGAATGATTGAGCCCTTTGCCGCCTTAGGGTACTTGCTTGTCGCGATTAGAATTGAGGAGGGTTAATTCCTTCTGCTCTGAGGTCTCCAAATTATTGTCTGTGACCCATTTGACCTGTTCTGTGTTCCTAATTGTCCACTGTGGCAGTGGTACCCAAAGGGATCTTTCAATGTGCGTCTCCTCAGCTCTGTTCTCATTCACTTAAAACTTCATCTCACATATTTTGGGCATGTTGCTAGGAGAGGCTATTCCTTGGAGACAGACATCATACGTGGAAAAGTGGAGGGATGGTGAAAGAGAGGAAGCCCCTCGATCAAGTGGATTGACACAGTTGACTGAAGCGGTGGACTCAAGTGTGTCAGACATGATGAGGATGGTACAGGACAGGGTTCAGCTCTGTTGTTCATAAGGTCACTATCCGGCAGCTCCTGACAACAAGGCTGTCTGTTATTCTCCCTCTCTGGAATCTTTTTTTTTCCTGCTCTCTTCTGCATCTTCATGTCTTCTTCCTGTTCTCATGCTGCCATCTCACTGCCTGTCTGCCTGTCTCCTTCTGGAAGAAGATTAAAAGACCCTGGGGTGGTCTCTAACCTATGTGAGTCCTATGTGTTAGCTGCTTTTTTTCCCTACAGTCTAAATTGAGTTTTTTAAGTCAGGAGTCCTGACCATCTCATTGCCCAATGCATCACCTACCTACAGCTTGGGAGCCACAAGCAGTGGGTTCTTTGGAGCAAAATCCTTGGTTTCAGAGTTGCCATTCATTTATTGAGGTCCTCTGAGCTGCTGGGCACATTGATAAGTACTTTATTTCCACTATTTAAGAATCACCTGCATCTTACGGTGATAGCAGTATACTTGGCTTTTTTTTTAACACTTGGCTTTTTAAAGGATTTTTTATTTTTTTTATTTTCTATTGGCAGTTCACTTGTTTTTGTGTGAAGTTAGTCATTCAGAGTTTAAGATCTTCTTGCCCATGGTCACACAGCTTCGAAAGGGCACAGAGGTGCTTTGAGGAACTAGAGAGGCACCTGGGGGAAAGGGCTTTGGCATCTCACCAGTTCCTGGTGAGTCACAAGCTCAGCCCATTTCACCCTGCCCCTGCTCCAGTCCCCCAAAGCTTCAGGAAAACCAGCCCCATGATGACACCCTGCCTGGCACAGAGGATCAGAATCTAGATTTTGTTCTCTCACCTCAGTGGTGAAGAGACAAAGCTATGTCCTTAATTTTAGACCCACATCCTGAATAATAGTCACTATTTGAACCCAGTTCTCTCATAAGAGGCCTGACTCTTAAACCACAAGCTCATATACTGCTTACAAATGAAAAATTTCTAGGTCCTACTGTATTGAGTCTGGGTTTCCCCTTGGGGAAATTCCCTATCCCCCTAATCCAACTCCCTGTGGAGGCAAGAATAAATTGGGGAAAAAAAAAAAAAGAATAAATTGGGGGTGCTGGCTACTTCTGCAGGATCCAGGTGAGTACCAGAAGGGCCAGAGGCCTGAATCTCTAGAGATGCCATCCAAGTCAGCACCTTCCACCATGTGCTCAGGCCCATGGTGTTTGAAGCACATGCCTGTGAAAGATGTGAGCTCAGTCTCATTGGAGCTCAGGGCCTAGTGGACAGAGACATCGCTTTGGGTACTTAGATGTATTACAATTGACCAATTCCTATGGGCTGGGGACTCCCAGTGGCCTCCAAAAGGCAGCCCTCTTAGACCAGTTTGTCAGCTATGTCTCGTGGGTCTTTTTCGGGCTCTTTGTCAGGTGGTTTTAAACTTGTCTCCTGGTCCCTGAAGTTTTTGCCCATCCCTGCCAGCTCCTCACAGTTTTCCAAAGTTACCCTCTCCTTCTCAGTCAGGCCTCTGCACTCTGCTGTGATAGTAGCTGTGCTTTTGTACAAGTTACACCCTTTGCTGTTCTCCAGGGATCTTATTACTTCTTGTCACCGGGGCCAAGTGTTGGGTTCCCTTCATCAGGGAGCTTTCCCTGTTTTTACACTCAGCCTATGTCATTCATTTCCATTCACTTTTAGAGTCTCTCCTTTTCCAACCACACCAGATAGTGATTGAATTTTCTGTCCAACAGCAGGAGAAAGAAATGGTTTTTGCCCTGAAGGTGTTCCCAGCAAGGCTGAGGACCCCTGACAGAGCCCCCAACCATTGCCTATCTTTGAAGAAGTGATCCATGCTCAGTTTGTTCCTTTTCTCACCCAAGACCTCTCCATGATTCCAGGACACCTAAGAGTGAGAAACAGACCTGCAAAGATCAGCTCTTAGTGGGGGTGCATTCATTTGTTAACCACAGACTGACTGGGTGGTGTCTTGTAGGCCTGGAATGTAGGGTGAGAGGATGAATCAAAAAGTAAGATGGCTCTTACACTGAACCTTGAAAGGTGAATAGAATTGACCCATGCCATCAACCAGCAGAGGAAGCCAGGAAGCTGAACTGGGGCTCTGGGATTCTGGGTGCTGATGGGGAAGTGAGGATTCTGAAGAGGGGCACATTCGAAGAAGGTTTTACTAGGATTTTAAGAATGAAAGTTCTGAGAAGCAGGAACTCTGTGAACTTTTCAGAGAAATGGAATGCGGGTTCCGAGGGGAAGCAGGAACCCTGAGGATCTGAGGGTTCCGGGTACTAGTGGATTCTGAGGAGGAGTTCCGAGGTGCCAGGGATGCTGGAGGACGACTCTAAGGAAATGGGGGTTTGAGGGCCTCCAAAGCAGAGTGACGCCAGAGTCGTCCTCTTCGAGGGGGAAGACTGGGTGGGGGTAGGGAACACCGTTGCCTTAGCAACCCCCAACCGAGTCGAGGGCCCCGTATGGGGCTTTTGGGGGCACGTCCCCCGGTGATTGGGTGGTGGGGACCAGGTCTGGGACGACGGCGGCAGCGGTTGGCTGGTCACGCGAGGGGGCGGTGCCTCGCAGCCTGGCTGGCCACAGAGGGGGGGGACGGGGCGTGGCCCAGGCAGTGGCGCCGAGCCCTGCAGAACGGGGCGGGGGCGGGGTGCAGCGGCCCAGCCTGCAGCGGTTGGCCATTGGTGGTAGGGGGCGGGGCCTAGGGGCGCGCGGTCTGTTGTGATTGGCTGTGGCTCTCGACCATCCCAACCTGGGTTACACTCCTCAGAGGCTGCCTGCCCCATCATCCTTGGATTCCACCCCTTGGCCTGCATCACCCGCCTCCTCCCTAGCCATCCCCTGGGCGACATCTGCAGTAGATCATCGCCATCACTGACCAGAGCCTGAATGGGACACAGGCCATCACCGACCAAAGCCTGATATAAGGCACTGGCATGCGGTCGTGGGCGCCCGGGGTGGGGACCGCTCTGGAATGAGCTTTTGCGTGGAGGCCCCGGTGGGACGGGTGAGGCCTTAGGTCTGGTCGGGAAGCCAGCGGAGGGGGGAGAGGGCCAAAGCTGGTTCTGAAACCAAGAAGATCCTGGGTTAAATGGAAGGATAAAAATGGGACGAAGAAATGGACTAAAAGGTTTTATGAGCTTGGACAGAGATAAGATTGGAAAGGGTTGTAGGGTTGAAAGCTGCTTCCCGGGCGAGAGGGGTGAGTTTAAGAGACATTTGTGAATGGGGAGGTTTATGGGATGTAATATAGTTAAAAGGAAGTTAATAGTGAGTTGTTAGATGCCTTTGAGTTTAGGTGCTGACTTAGTCTTGTTTTCAAAACTGGTGATCTGAAGGAAAGAAAGTAACAGAATAATAGCAATAAATTATGATCAATACTGTAAGAGACCCTGGAGAGTGGTCAGGGAGAGTGGGCTTGGAATGGTCACAGCACTGAGAGGGAAGTGTGGAAAAAAGCTAGACTCTGGGACAGGAAGTCTGAGTTGAGTTCAGAAAAAGACTGGAATTAAATGACTCTGACCTAGAATGCAGCAGGAGTTGCAATGGGAAAATCCTATAGAGTAAGACTACCTGATACCCTTAATTCCACCTACCACTTACCAGCCAGCCACCTTCCTGTGGAACAACAAAATCTGTCACAAGTTACAGGCACTTTGTCATATTTGAGTCCTGTTCAGGTTGATGTTATCATTGTTGTTAAGTAACTTCAAGTTAACTGTAACTCAGAGCAAGCCTTGGAACAACAGATTAGAAATTTGCCCATCCTCCAATGTGCTCAAGTACATTGTTGCAGTTACACTGTAGTGTCCCCTTCACTTTCACTGAGACGCCACCCTTCTCAGCAAGATGTCTTTTTCCAAGGACTGGCCCCTCCTTAAAACATGTCATGAAAGAACTGGGGCGGGGGGGGGGGGGG